ATCTCCTTCCATCTCTTCCTCTATCGCCTTTTCTGCACCAGATCTGGATTCCTGAGCATTCCTTCGAAGAATGTCAAAGATCTTACTGACCGCTTTAGATCCCTTTCGTTCTGCTTCAGTTCGATAGGGTGTGGTGGGCAAACACAAAGGATGGTTGATGTCAAAAAGGTCAGAACTGTTTCCAGAGATGGACACATCACTGTGTTCATCAATACTTCCAGGAGGTTCTGTTACATGGGTTTTGGATTCCTTGTATTCTGCATCAGTGTGATATGTTGTGGTGGTTAAACCATTGGATGGTTTACTGCCCAAAACGTCTGTACTACTTCCTGAGATTGCTATGTCGCTGTGCCTATTACTTAAAACACCTGAAGGTTCTGTTGAAAGTTGAGAGATTGAGATTTGACACGCAGAGGCATCAGCCAGAGGAGGGTCCTTAGCTTCAGTGCTTCTTTCCTTTGGTACGTCGTCCACATTGTCATCTTCTATCAAACCTACATCGTCAAGGTTTCCTGAAACATTACTGCATCCTTCTCTTGCTGGTTCAACCACAATTTGATCTTTTGCATTGCAAATAGACTCGTGAGTTTGCGAAAGTTTCGTGGGTGATTCATTTGGCTCTGTCACATCCATTTGGTCCAACCCTGATGATAAGCCTTGCGTTCCTGCTTCATTTATTAATGACAATTTGATTGCTGATTCTGTAGGTTTCTCTAGTGTTTCTACAGCCTCGGTGCCTTCCTTTTCTGTCTCTCTTCTACTCTGGTCCACTCTTTCCATAGACTCCTCGGTTGGCCTGGTTTCAGTCACGTTCTCCTTCATAGGCATTTCTTTCTTGTCTCTTTCGCTACCTGTTATCTCTCTGTCCTCTTTTGAAGAGTCGAAAACTGTCATCTCTGAGTTGCTTGTTGCAGCATCAGTTTGGTCTCCTATTTGAGTGCTAGAGTGCTGTGCTTTGTTCATCGTTCTGACATCATCTGCATCGTTTTCATTTTGGCCCTCTTCAGCACCTTTCTGCCACTTTGCAAAACCGAGATGCTTGTTGTTTCCTTGCCTTGTCTCGTCTTTTTTAGGGTCTTCATCCTTTCTAGGAATTGTGGTTGCCAACTCCTTTGAATATCTTTGCTCTGTAGATTGTGGAAACATTACGTTCGCATAGCCTTTAGCGCCTCCGCTGGGGGCAGAACCAGTTTTAATCGGAGCAACCCAGAATCCAATAGGACCTGGTTGTCGTGGTGGAAACTGAGGCACTGAAGGCCCTGCACTATACATGGGATGCACAGGCATCTTTTGTATAGTGCAAGGAAGACCACCGCGATGAGGGTGTCCTGGCCCAGTGGGAGGTAGAGGAGGAACACTGAACCTCTGAACTGGTATTTGTGAAAATCTTTGGGGTGGCACAGGAGGCATCTCTGGCACTGGTCTCGGAAATGGCACACTTGGTGGGAAAACATGATGAGGTCTACCAGCTGTTGGTGGAAGACATGGTGGTGGAAGAACAAGCCTCGGATGAGGAGTGTTTGCAGGCCACCGTGGCACCTCAGATGGAGAAATTGGTGCAATGCCTGGTGGAGGTGGCATATTCGCAGGGAAGGCAAACCTCTGATTGGGTTGAAGAGGAGGTGTCCACTGCTGTTCATGGTGCTGAATGGTTGGATGCGAAGGTAGAGGTGGAAACGATGAGCTGCTAGGTGCAGGCCGAGGTGGTAGGGAAGCGGGTAAAGAAGAAATAGGTGTTGGTGAGATGGGAGAGTATGGCACAAACGTTGTGCCAGGTGGTGGAGGGGGAGAACCAAAGGGTAGGGTTCCACCAGGAGGCGCAGATGAGACTGATGGAGTCTGAAGTGCTGGTTGAGGACTTGTGCCAATAATGGACTGAGGTAGGAAAGGGGATGAAAATGGCGCAGAATGAACTGGTGGTGGATTTGGCTGACTTGTGCATGGTCCCATGCTCAATGTACTCCTGTAGGGCCCTTGAGGAAGGGGAGGATTGAATGGAAAACTCGATGACACTATGGCAATCGGAACTGTTGAAGGAGTACTTGCTGGAGTTCCTACAGAGTGGTAACGTCCTTTTGAGGAAACCACAGTTATAGGACTAACTGATCCTGTTGGTGTGGTGCATTGGGGACTCAAATCCATGGATACAGGTGACTTTCTGTCCCCTTGGATATCAGCTTTTTCCTCGTGCTCTGTTTCCTGAGACCGTTTTGTCACCTTAGGCTCTGGTGTTTGATTATGTTCATCACCAGACGATTGTGCAGAAACCTCTCTCGAGTCTCTCTTCTTAAGAATCAATGTCAACTTGGGTTTTTTGGGTGGCGCATCAGAATTTGATAGTGGTCTTGTCAGGGCATCACAAGATGGAATTGCCGGAGGTGGGGCCTCAGACAATTCTGGTACAGCAGTCTCCTTGACTGGCTTACTATTGGCTGGTGTTGCCGGACCTTTAGGAGTACTTTTGTGCTGTTTTGACCCCTTCGTTGGAGAATCTCCCATAGCTTTCTTTTCAGACCTTACAACAGGTGTCTGTTTTTCTTCTCTTCGCTTCTCAATACTTTTCAAGTTTCGCTCTCCAGATGATTGTGCGGACAATACTGATGCATTACCTTGATATGTTTGAGATCTTTCCCCTTTCACCTCTGTTGAACCCACACCACTACGGCTTCTCTTCATAGACTTCTCATCAATCGTTGAAGACATCAACGTACCAGCAGTTTTTGCTCCTTTTGCAGCGTCTTGTGCCTGACGTTTCACACTCTGCGACTCTAATTGATTCTTCATCATGTCCAAGGTTTTTCTTATACCATCAATCATGGTGGACATTGATTCTTCAGGCTTCTGTGATTTCAACCTGTTTAACAGCTCTCTTAGAAATCCGCTGTTTGGGCTTGATTCTTCAGGTTTCTGTTGTTTCACCTTTTCCACAAAATTTCTTAAAACCTCACTGTTCGATTGATAATTCGTATTCGATTGCTCAGACATTGGAAATTTTATCTTAACCAACAACTCGTTCAGAAATTCACTATTGATTTGATACTTGTTCTGTTGATTAGCAGCTGTTATTGGTGATGTATATGCAACTGGAGCAGAATTCGGTTTCACTCCCCGAGCTTGCAGCGACGCTTGCGCATTAAAAGGCACACCATGGCCACTTCTGCTAGATGACGTGGCTGGCTCACCGTCAACAGAGCGCCTCAATCTCGGATCTTCCCTGTGTTTTTCTTTCCTCACAACAAGAGCTGGCGAAGGTAACACTGTGTCTTTCTTAGCCACGTCATCCAGTTTGAACTGTTGCAATGAGACATCAGCATGCTCTCCGAGAAAACCTTGATTTTTCTCTACATTTCCTTCATGTCTTTCAAGTTCATCTTGCTTTCCAAGGGCTACTTTCTGTTTCTCTGTGTTGGGTGTTCCAATTGGGATATCTTGTTGTCCAGAAAACACTCTGTGCTGTTCCATATTTCCAATAGTTCTAAAATTCACATCTTGTTTCCCAGACAACAGTCTCTGTTCCTCGTTATTACCACTTGATCTTGCACGCACATCCTGAAAAGGCACATTTGGGACTACTCTGGGACCAGGAACATAAGTAGGAGCGGAAGAGGATTGAATTGTCGACTTCTGAAAATCTCCCTCCATGCCTCCCAAAGGGTGTGGCCTGCTAAGCCAACTTTCCACTCTACGCTTCCATGTCACCGTTTGCTCGTTTGTCAAACCCTTATCACACGACACAAAATCAGGAACATCCTGCCTTTCCATGTGACTGGATGCCGGGGCAGCTAATGGTCTCGCAGAATCTAAACTGTGCCGTCTTGGTTCATTGAGCTTCTCCTTGTCATCAACCTTTGTACTCAGATGTCTTTTCAGTTCCTTTTGAATTTGACTTACTCCCATATCATTTGCGGTTACAGAGCCACTTTTCGCCGTGTTGATGACGTTCTCTACGAGGAGACGTAAGAAGAAAATAGCATAAGTATGACATCAGGAGCAACACAAATTGCATAGATAAGTAGCGGTCTACAAACACATCCAAATAAGGATTAGGACATCACTGGAAAAACAGGTACACCGAGAAATACCCAAAACTACGTCTGCATCCAGAGGACTTTTGTCACGTTGTACTATCTACAAGGAAACAAATGCTTGCTTCCAAGCCTTTGTTTCCTCCATTAGGATTAAGGACCTGGTATTTGAGTGCTTACTTCCATCTGTTACTACATAAAATAATATATAGATTTAGCCAAGCCTAAAAGCGGAGCTCACATTTTTTTTCCCCCCCGCACGTCTCAAGGGCACAACGCCTTGCCCCGGCCAGGACGAGAACCCGGGTCGTCCGACTCGGAGCCCAGTGCACCGACCACTGGACTACTGAACAAAGCCGTGACGTTGGCGTGCCCGCGGTACAGTTGACCACGCATGCTAAAAGTAGCATCTTGTACGGTCGTACGGTCGTACATCCATATTTTTTCGACAATCAAATGCAATCAAATGACGAGTTCGTAGACGAAAAAAATTTAGTACATCACGTAACGTGTCGAAAGTAAACACAAATCAGTGTTTTTTCCCTGAATAAGGAAATGCGATAAATCTATGTTCATTTTCCATGGATGTTGTGTTGGATGTCACCACTGCTCCCTTTTCACACACCACTTGAATCTTTTAACTTCCAGAAGTGATAAACATGTAAGTTCTCACTACAGTATGCATACATTACCCAACACAAAGGTAATGAGAATACCCAAACTTGTCAGGTAAAAGTGATGATCCTGATCTAACACCAAATTTTGATAACTAATTTGCGAGAGTAAGTGTTGTAGCTAAAGAGAAGAATTAACAATGAATCAGATCTAGGGAGTTAGAGGGTTGAAGTAGTTGTTTACCTTCATAAATAAAATTTTTTCTTATTTCTTAAAATCAAGTGAATAATTACACAGTTATATGATCTGGGCATTGAGACACACACTTACCTCTGCCAGTTTTCTGTTTCTTCACAAAGAGGAGAGCATGAAGTGTTGCTGGTGAATCTACTGTAGTGATGCCTAGGAAATAATCAATTTTGTAAGGACTTTTGGTTCCATAGCCATTCAGTATAGGCACAAAAAAGGCTAAAACTTCAAGTCGCAAGTCTAAAACACTCTCATCACAAAGGGAAAATAAAGCAGCTTTCTCTAATTCCTTTGAACAGTTACAATGTAATTAACATATAAAATTACATGATCAAGCCATTTTATGTAAAAACAAAGAAAATAGCAGTAAAAAAAGATACATTGTAAGGTGATGCTCTTCACACACCATATAAAAACCTGTCAGACAAGTTAAGAACACTTTAGGAAAAACACCCACAAGGCTATAGGATGATCACTCACCAAGGTCCAAAGTGATTTGAGAGGTTGGAATAAGAAATATCACTCTATTGGCATCTGGATTTTTGACAATTCCAGCCTTAAAAAAACAATGTCGACAAAGAGAAAAAAGTATTAAGAAATATTACACAGTTGGTTGATGAAAATTAACAGAATTTACTAAAAATTTAACCTTACTTATTGTGAAAATTACAAAACAAATGAACATATCTGTCTCATATTTCTATCACAACTACAATTTGTTATATTGATCAGCAAGTAGCATAACTCAGGACAATTGATCCTCATTCCAAAGGGGTTTTGTTTTGCTACTGGTGTGGAGGAACAAATCTTCCCTACTTTTGAGGGGGTTTAAGTTTAGTGTCCACGATCAGACTCCTACAGCAGCAGTGTTGATTGAGATGTTGACTTTGTGAGACTTGCTTGTCTTTGATGTTTTCACCACCACCAAACAACTGATATGAGCAAAAAATTTCACAACAATCAAAGATTCCAAGTATTTAGGGTTCTATCTGTGCGTTTTGTTATTCATCATGTTGCTTACCCAATTTTTCTCCTGGAAAAACTTAACAAGTTTTATAATTTTTCCATGGTCATCTTCAATTGGAACTAATTCACAATGCAAAAAGCTTGTCCCACCAGCTAAAGATGCTAAAAACACAACAACAACAAAACTAATTATATTTGGAACTATAAGAAGAAATCAATTTATTAAAATGTCAGAGCCTACATTCACTAGAAAATAAAAATAAAGAAAAAACAAGAAAACCCCAAAAAATTGAAACATCTTAAATACTGGAACACTACCCTGCTTTGTGTCTGTTTTCTTGTGAGTGAGCTTGTCATTGGTTGCTACTTACATGGGAGCATTACTCAATCCACCAGCTCACTTTCAAAGTGGCAGCCCCTGGTTATACCAGGCACAGAATATACATCACATAATGCAGTTGTCAAATTTTTACAAACTTTCCTGTTATTATTAGTTCAAGGATAAAATCAAGGATAAAATGAGTTTTCTATTTTTAAGACAAAGGCCATGTAAAATTTAGAAAAAAAAATTTCATTCAAAAATAGAAAAACATTACCTTTGCACACTCTAGACACAGAGGGTGGACCAGAGCGAAAAAGTGGGAAAGTCAAGAATGGTCTCAGCTGCTGAAAGGAGATTTTCTCCTTCATAACAATCTTCTTACCACTGAAAGCAAAAATTTTGCATCATGTAAACATGTGTTGATGACAACATTGACAACTTGATGAAAGATTGCTTTGCAATAAGAAAAAACCTTCATAGATCAATAATAATCTGACCTAAATGAAGTAAATCTTGCTTAGTGAAAAATGTCAATCTCAAAAAACATAGCCAATAACATGCAGATTACCTACTTCAACAAGAGATGTGTTTCCAAGCCAAAGTAGGTATAGTGTCAGAGGAAAATGGGAAGCTTTATGAAATATCTTACTGATTGGGTGCATATTAAATTTGACTGTTTTTTCCCAAAGATCAACAGCTGCAACATGACCAACAATGAAAAGGTCTCTCACCAAAAATGGTTTACTTCACCAACCCTCGATCATTGCTAAATTAACTTACATTTCAAAGGGAAGCTTGATTTTCTGTACAGAATGGCAAACAAGCTGTGCATCAGCCAACAATCTGTCTTTGTTTGTGATTTTCCCCGTCCAAACAACATGGCTACTTCTTCCCCATCTCTTTTCTGGAATTCCTAACCATAATAAATTTACATCATTTAGTGTAACATGTCACTCGTGCATTACCATCTAAAAATCAAATCCTTCTTTTTAATTGTCAAATGGTTTACCAGGGTTCTGAACAGGATAAAAACTAAATGTCTGCCCATCGCAATTATTCATAGTCATTTTTTTCAAAGTCGCCAACTGGAAAAGTTAAATCATAAAATGGTTGCCAGAAATAAAATTTGGGTGCAAAATGAAAAGAAAAAAAATTAATTATACACTGTTAAAATACTAAAAGATGCCACCTTCTTTTGAGAACCCTGGCCTACACATTTAAAAAAGAATGAGGTGACATACAATATAATTTCAAAGTTTAACTTACTTGTCTCGCGTCTTACAAAACCTTTGGCTGGCAGTGAAAACCCACTATTGTCCACACCTGGAAACTCCTCCTAACAAAAATGCATAAAATCAGAAATTGTATGATAAAGAAAAAAGGTGACAAACATTACATTTTGCTTTCACCTCACCTGCACAATGGATGATTCTTGATGAGGACCCAATGAATCACCCACCGAAAGAGTGATAACAGCATAAGGAAGACAATGCCGCGGCCTTTTTACATGCAGGTCATCACCTTCCTCAGCAAACTCGTAGAAATAATACTGTTTAAAAAATAAAAATAAAAAGATTTCATAGACATATAAATTTCTCAAGGCATTAATAAAAAACATCAGTTAACAGCACAACTTAATCCATGCTTAATTTTCCAAGGGAGAAGTCTGCAGTAAAAAAGATATTATAAAATTTCCTAGTTGCAATAAATCCCCAGAAGCAGCAACCCCTTGAAAGTGATAAAACAGTCCACTTACGGCCTGAAATTGTCATGTTGTTACTTTTATTAAAGCTGCTGTATTTCTTAACCCGATCAAACAAATCAAGTAGTACAGGGACCAAAAGTTGACTGAGATTGTGTATTTAGCGACTGAGTGGGAGGGCCATGTGGGAAAATATTTGGCTCTTGGTCAAGATGTACAGACCTCGCTGCCATCTGCCCCACTTTAAACCATTCAATGAGCATTTTATCATAAGACTACCACCCCCTCTTTTTTCCTTCATCTTTTTGCTCTTTGTTTTGGCTTTTCGATGCCAAACAGCTTATTCTGCCCTACTCAAGCCACTGTGCATGGCCCAAGGAAGGGAGTTATTATACAATATTTTTCATTAAAAGCATAAACAAGGCTATACAGGCTATGTGATGAGTTTAGTTACCACACTTAAACAAATCCCACCACACAAATGATGTCCTTCAAACCCACCTGTGAGTAATCAAATACTTGGTTAAGTGGGCTGTTTGCTTGAAGATTCTGAAGGGATCTTGAAACATGGCAGTCAAAGTTTGGTGTTGGCTCAAGCAGGTCTCCAGCAGTTGCTGCATTCCGTTCTGTTACTTGTTTTACCTTGCCCTGTAAGGTAAAAGGAAAAAAGAAAAGATATTAATGCTCCAAAATATACACTTCCTACTGTTTCACAACCAAAGAATATAGCAGTGCTTTCCGTAAGTTTTGAAGTACTTTTGACCAATCTTGTGGTTAAAGGAAATACATGATACCTTAAGAATTTAAGGTTGCAATGTACTGCAGAACACTTAACCCTTTAACTCCCAGAACAGGTTTGTAATTCTCCTTACTGTCAACCATACAATTCTTATAATGTTGGTTCAGAGAATTTAGTATTGGATCAACTAATCATCCCCAAATTGATATTTTTCTTTATTCTCATCACTTATCTGGTTGACATTGTATTGATATTGTAAGGAGAAATTCTGTCTGAGTCACTCATGGGAGTTTAAGGATTAAAGGATGATTTTTAGTCAGCAATGAGTTCCTTTACGCAATTTAGACTGCACACAAACCTTGATGACTTTGAAAACTATAAGGTATCCCAGAGAACCTTGAATAAGAGGTTTCCTGGAAATGACGTCAGCATGACGGCCAAGATACACACCTGAAGTTTTAAATGTAAACACAAAGAAACTGCATGATCAGTTGTAAATATTAAGAATCATTAAGAGTGATTAATATCAATTTCACCATAACATTGTCAGTGCCTTGTCTATTTAACAAATTGACAATTTTCCATTACCAAGTATTTCTTCGAGGTTATTCATCTTTCAACTTTGCAAACTGAGAACTGGACTTTCTATTTCTACTTCTCTTCCTCTGCTTTTTTTCCCTCATGACAAGCTCTTCTACAAAAATTTCTAAGTCTACCAGACTTAAAACTCAGAAGTTTGTTATTGTCCATATCTCAGAAATTTGCGATTGTTTTCACAAGATAAATTTTTTATCTGACATGGCGAGGATTGTCGAGCATTACATCACACCATCTTTGTTGTCTATTATCTTATTTACAATAGTTCTTGACCAATGAGAGCACAAGAATTTCTACAGTGAACCATTATTATGACAAAAAACACATACCCATTGATGGATCTCCCAAACATGATAATGATGTTGAACCAACCTCCAATCCATTTTCACATATTTTTCTTGCCTGATATAACAAAACCAAAATAGGTTAACAAAATACTGAAACGAAACAGTGTTTCCCTGCCTCCCTTCACAATAATTTATTTTGCAGAAAGAATAAACTTTTTCACAGCAATTCAAGCTTCAACCATAAATGTTGGATGCTGGACGTTTGTCAAGGATTACCATACCCTTTACATCCTAATTTTCTCCACACTGTTCGCTTTACATTTCCTAAGTAGCTATCAAGGAGAATTTCTTTAACAGTCAAGAAGTTCTTTAGTTGGTGATCATTTCCTTAGTCTTGTGACCTTTATGCGTAATTCAAGGATGACTATGTACAACGAAATGAGAAACTAGTCACTCTTTAGGACTCAAGAGTAAATGCAAACGACCAAAATATTTGGCAAGGAAAGATTTTGGAATAACCCCCATGCTAATCTAAAACAAATCCTTTGTCCCAGAGGTAAGCTACTGGTTCTGTCGTTGCTTTCTTTTATCAAAGCATTGTAAACCTAATGAAGATGAGGGCTAAACAGAATTCTTGCCACTAGGCCTCAAAATTTGCCTTCGCATCTTCGTGCCAAACACAAAATCAAACAGCTGGTGCCCAGAATAAGACAAAACAGGCTTAGAGTTTGTTTCCCTCCATATCATAATGCTATGAGCTTGATAAATGTCAACTTATAAAATAGGTCATCAAATTTATTTCTGTGCAAAACCATTCCTAGAAATAACGAAACCAGATTTCTCACGTAATACGTAACGAGGCAATTATCGGAAGCAGCTGGGATGTGATGAAAAATTATTTGCTCCTTTAAGTATCAAACTAACCAAGGACACCAGTTTGGCTCATCTAAAATCTATTTCGCTTCTCTATTCAACTAGAGGCACAACTAAAGTTTATCAACAGCGATTACTACGATAGGAATCGAAATTTTTCACAAAATTGTCAACTCAAGCATTTTCAATTCATCTAAAAATGGAAGTCTGAATAATTTTAACAACAATCGTTCAAATAAACATAGCAAGTTTCTTTCGAGGTCAGGGATTCATGAAATCGTTTTGGTTAAATTTTGTCTCCTTGTGAAAACATTAGACGTTTGTGGAACAAAAAAAAAACATTTCACTTAAGTTATCCTGTACTTTCACTTGTAGCGAAGCTTGTGTAAGAAAACGAAACACTCGCTTAATTTTGCAAAAACCGCATCGCATGCCATAAAAAGTATAATTGAGCTTAGCTATTCAAACCTCTTCACGATCAACAGTGTAGAAGAACGCATGTTTGTCTTCAAGTTCTTTAGAATTTCGCCATTCGTTCCGCATAGACTGTTTTTTATCCTGGTACTGTTGATTAAAACAAAGCCCAAACAAAGATCAGAAGATTGCTGTGGAACGTTGTTTAAATAAATCCATAGCTTACTTCGGACTTGGAATGATTAATGATCCAAAGTCACTCACTGAATGAATGGAACGATTAATAATCCAAATTTACTCACCTCTCGGGACAGCTGGTCATTAAATACAAGCTCTAGCTTTTCAAATTTCAGGGTAGCGCCAAGCACAGGATCTCGATATGATTGCGCGACATTGCGAAGTACCTCCTTCCCTTCTCTAGTATCAAAACTGGAATGCTGAAGAAGTTCTTTAAAAAAGAAATGCCAAAGTCAAACCAGATCAGTGTTTAAGGGCCGCAAATACACCTCGTTCTGAAGGGTTTTTACGCAAAACTAACGATTAGCATAAAGGCGAGCAAGAAATTTTAGCACGTTTAAAAGTCACACCACTAGTCAAAAATGCTTTAGCTCAAAGATCATGATTAACTTACCATTTGCTTGCTTTTTCTTTCGTGGGATGACAAATCCACCCTTCTTTTGAAAAGAAGACCGTACCCGCTGCTTTCCTGTAGTATTTGTACCGCTATTTCCTGACAAATTTAAACGCACAGCGAGCGGAATGTCATCTTCCGAAACTTCTGTAATCGACCCGTCCTCTGTTCGTTCAGAATCGTTGTCCAAATTCAACGCTTTCGGAGCAAGCATTTTCTTCAAATAATTGCAATAGAGTTTTCTTTTCCCTATGTATGCTCCTCATGGCTTTTAAACAGTGTTAATAACCTACATTTCGCAAAGAAATCAGCGCATTCCTGTCCGATCCTATGCTGAGTAGTGACCTCGTGAGCCTCACTTTACGTCTCTTACCAAGGTTTCTCAAAGAACTTCGGGACAAGCGCGGGAATGGTAGTTATCCTTACTCTCCGGGGGAAGGGTGAAGTAATGAATCTCTTCTTTTCTTTCGAATCACCCGAGCATGTAAAAATTTGTGCTTGAATATACATTTTTATAATCTAACCTCATAAAAAATAAGTAAATAATTTCTAACGACGTTTTCTTCTTTATTTCAATAACTTTACCCTTTGAAGAGCAAAACTCTCACCACTACCCTAGGGGAACAAATGTAATGCTGCTAACGCAGCCAGGCCTTGTTGATAGTAAAAACATATCGCTCCGCCTTTTCATCACAATTTACCATCATCTTTGCACGATCAGCGAGCACCAATCACGGAGCACAATATCTACTGGAAATCACACGAGAAGTAAGTGATTACAAGCCCTCTTCTAAGATCTAGTTTCCTCGTACTTTTGTTGTCCCTATACTTGCTTCGAGGGGGTTTTTCGAGAAATATGGTGACCACTTCTTTTTTTTTGCAAAAAAATGCAGTTCAGGTCGTATCATTGGTACATTGTTTTACATCTATTTTCAGTATCAATTGCGTTCTCCAATAGTGACATAGTCATTATAGTAGTTCTACCCGTGTCTCCGGCATTTCTCCTCTATTTCACGAACTTAAGATCTTTCGAGTCATGTTGCATGTTGACGAAGGCAAAGCCCGAATCAGCTCGCACGAAAGCGGAAATCCAGTTGTTTAAGTATAAATCTTTTACTCGTTCAAACTTTTATTACAAGACAGGCTGATGTTTTAATATTATTTTGTGCATACTCACTGTACTATGCTTTGGACAAGATCAGCGTATGAGTTCAAGATCTCGCTTGCGTGCAGTGGATGAGAGCGAAGCTAGAATGAGCTATCGCGCAAGTAAATCGAAAGTGAATAATCTAATTGTTTCAGTATGGAGCCACTGGTCGTCCAAATCTTGACAATATGACAGCCTTTGTAATTATTTTTTTTTTTTTTTGATCACAGCCACACATTGTGAGGCTACTCAAAACCTCTTTAACAAAGGGATTCCGTGCTTCCGTTCGTCTGTACAGTAGTGTACTTGATCATAAATGACGTCACGAACTGTCACACACAGCTGCGCCTTCTGTGCCACTTTTTCGTTCTTACCATATTTTGACGTCATCTGTGATCAATACTATACAAATGCATAGAAACACGGAAACCATATAGTGAGTGGCATCGCAGTGTGTGGTTGTAAACAGTGTGGTGTTCGGTGCAGCCTTTCGTTGCTCTACTTTCCGTCTGTATTTTTCCTTTTTGCAGAGATAGATTAGCATAATGAGGAATAACTGTTGATGTAGATAATCTCACAGAAATCTAAATAATCAGTACTAATTCGAAAAGAGCATGCTTGTTGCAAGTGATAATTGTAATAGTTGTTATGTCTCATAGGAGCAAGTCTTAAAACATGGACAAAAGTGAGTGTAACCTTTCCACCCCTTCACGAAGCAGCTTTAAATGGACATATCCCATGCTTGGAAATACTGATTGAAAACAGTGCAAATCTGGAGAAAAATGAAAACCAGTTTGGCACTGCTCTGCATGTTGCTTGTCTGGGTCATGTTGGATGTGTGAAAGTTTTGCTTCAGGCTGGGGCAAACCCTAATTCCATCAGAAGGCATCAAGTCCCCTTGCATGCCACTGCAATGAACAGAGACGAGGTCTGTACAGCTCTAATTCTTGAGTTCAGAGCTAATGCTTATCTAAGAGACCTAGAGAGCAAGAAACCTGTTAAACAACTAATGAGGCATGCAAAGAGATGCTTTTTGAAGCTGGTAAGGATTTAAAACTAATTTTAACCCTTTATTCCCATGAGTAACCAGGACAGAAGTTCTTCTTAGAATATTTACACAATATCAAAGAGGAAAATTGATGATAATGAAGAAAAATATCAATAAGAAGGTAATTAGTCTACCCAATACCAGATTCTCCAAACTAGAAGCATAAGAATTGTATGGCAGACAGTGAGGAGAATTGCTAATGAGATCTTGCTCGTGAAAGGGTTTAATAGTTGATACTTGTATTTATAAACTAAGTGAACTGTAATTAAAAGAATCAATACAGATTAAAGGAAATGTTCCTTTAGTTTAAGAAATAAATTCAAAAGAGCTGTGTTGAATCACACAAAAACACATAATTTTGTGATACAACAGGACCAAATGAATGGGTGCATCCTACTGTGATATTTTTCCATATGTTTATGAACTCTATTTTAATTTTGTTCCCAAAAAAATCCCCCCCGACTTCTTCAAAGCTGCCGTTGTCTCATCAGGCAACAGCTGTCATGCCCACCCAAAGACAAGATCCCTGTCCTACCCCTCCCTAGAAGCCTCAAGGATTACCTGAATCACTATAACTATTGCATGGACCACAACTGTATACAGCAGGAATGTCTTAATTTGCCTTGCACAATACCAGTTACAAATTTAAAAGGCACTTGTGGATAGCTCATTTTTTTTTAGTTTTTGAAGGCAGTTAAGAGTCAGTGAAAGGATCACCTATTAAGTAAACCACTCTGACCATTGCATGGACCATGGTTTACAGCAGTGATGTCTTTAGTTGCCTTGCATAGTGCTGCTCAAGAGTTGAAAAGGTGTTTTTTGGTAGCTTATTTTCCAAGTTCTAAGAGGCAAGGATCAGTGAAAGGATCATAAAAACCTGAATCACTATAACTATTCCATGGACCACTTCGTTATAAAGCAGTGATGTCTGAATTTGTCATGAGCAATGCCACTCATTAGTTAAAAAGGCATAGCTTGTTTTTTAAGTTTTAGGAGGCAAGGATCAGGGAAAGGATTACTTAAACCACTATAACTATTGCACGGATCAGCACTTTATACAGTAGTTATGCCTGAACTGCCTCAAGCAATGCATCCCATAGGTTTAAAAGCCTTTTGATAGCTTGTCCTCTAATTTTTTTGGAAGGCAAGGATCAGTTAAACTTTGTTAAAAAGCATTGGAGTTGTTTCGTTGAATTAAAATTTATTGGGTGGGAAACAAAAAAGAGGGAGATTATTTGCCAAAAAAATAGTTTTAATCAGGTCTCTGGGTAGACATATGCCATTAAAGACATTAAATTTTAAGGGCATTCAATACTTAAGCAACTAAATGTGAAAGTGATCTCGAACAAGGTTGCAATGAAGAAACAGCCCTGAAAATATCCTGGAATCATAAATAAAATGCTAGGAAATAGAAAATATACAGAAGTAATCCTAAGATGAGAAGGAATGGAATTAATTAAGAGTAATTTGTTGTGAGACAGGCATGTATGAAAATTGACATAACCAGTCATAGGAAGCCACTGGAGGATTTACAATACATAATATTTTCCCTGCCCATTTCTTTTAACCCCTTACACCCAAACATCAGTATGTATATCCTCCATAATGTTCTCTATACATTTCCTAAGGTGCTGACTAAAAGAATTTGCTTAACAATAAAGATAATTTCCTTCATTCTTGTGACCGTTGTGTGTGATTTAGGGGTGAGATATTGTGAAGAGACATTAGATGCTACTCACCCTCAGATATCAAAGGATTTAAAGTATTTTTTGCTAGTATAACTGGAGAAAATTCACTTCAATGAATTTTAAATTTACTAGCTTAAATATACTAGCTTCATCAATGATAGAATAGTTTACTACCTGAACATTCGCTATTTTTCCAATACTTTGCTAATGCTATGTGTATCTTATTACAAGCATTAAAATACATGTTGTAGCTTACTAATTTTGTAAATTATATAATTTTGTATCAGTTTTAAGCAAATTAGTAAGTGCAACTATGCTGTTAAAACGTAGAGGTGACTGTGTGTAGCTTTTATTTAATTGGGTACTTAGTGTAAATTCGATGGTTCAATAAAGCAAGTTTAACTGATGTGGACAACCGTTTTTTTCTTTTTTTATTTTATTTTCATGTTAAGGCCTTTTCGTACACACAAGGGTTTCTACTTGGCTATTTTGTGCGCTTTTTTGTGCGCTCTATGTAATATACATATTTTATTTGTCGTTGTTAACTATATCAAAGCAGAAAGTGCCTTGCACAGCGGGCCTACGTGAAAGCTATACAACGAGCAGTTCCTCCTTTCTGGTGAAGTCCGATGCGGGTGGCTATCGTTTTGGGGCTGAATCTTTTTTCTCGCGCACCGGACTTCGTCGAAAAAGAGGAACTACCCGTCATCCACGTGAAAGTTACACGATTACCTCAACTGTTGAGACGTCACAACATGTACCGTGTTTCAAATCTTTTAAACGCACGTAAACATCGGCGAAGGATGCTTAAAGTGTACGTAAGTGTACAAGAGTCGCCGAGGAAGAATGAACGTGGAAAGACCCAACGGAGGCGAGAGTTAGTCTCTTAGTTTGCAACTTTCGTTATGATTTAAATTTCAAAGGCCATAGAAGGTGGATTTACCGTGTCGCGTTAGTTTTTCGCATGTACGACGCCTTGGAAAAAACTTGAAATGGAAATATGACAACGTCTTGTCAACGGTTGCGTTTATGCACGTAAACGTTAAGTTCAAAGTACGTTTTTTTTTTTGTTTCAGGACGAAAACGCGACAATGGATATCTAGCTTAAAGACGGCAAGAGTAGGGAATTGCGACAACTTTCACTATCGCTAAACCTGGGAGAAGGAGAACCTTTTTCTATGCCTGTGCCGGCACGAAATACATGAAGAGGTATTGATATAAGAACATCTGAACAGAAATTGCTGGTTAAGAAACGCTGCGAGATAGACATACATATAACTTGACCGAAAGGGTGGATATTACATTCTTATAAATTTCAGAAGTACATTTTAAAAACAATTTGATGGTAGTAAGTTCATTTAAAAACAAAAAAATGTCGCATAAGGTTTCTCGAATTTCAAGTGCTACCTTTACAAAATTTAATACAGTTACATAAGGTCGCAAAATATGAAAAGAAAACTAATACTGTCCTCTCTGCGA